TCAAATTGTCGGAGTCAAAGCGCTTTGATCCACTGAAGGCCTTGCATGAGTCTGCGCAATGCGTACTCTGAGCTGTCCGACCACCGCTGACGGTGTAAATTGCCGCGCGCGATGCTTGCGTTATTGCCACTCACAAGTAATGACCGCCCCTCACGGCGCCCTTCCAAATAACGTAGGGGTGAGGTGCAGGGTGGAAGCCCACAAAATCTGCAATTGCTTGTAGGAAGACATCATACTCTGTCCAACTTCTGCGGCGCTTTTTGCCTGAGCATAATCAGAAGAGGACCCTTTGCTTTTGGCCCAAAAGGAATGTTGAAGAAGAATTTGAAGTGTCAAAGTGACGATTCGTCGCCTTCCGCGTGCCTCCTCTTATGTAGCTGGGCCTTCTTTTACAAAATCCCTGGGGGAAACTAATAATTTCAAAACAATGGAAATCCATACTAGAAAATATGAACAATCTTCTCGAAGAGGTTTTTTTCCCGACGTATGCATTTGAGCTCAACACAGCGTGAGCAATTAGTGGTTCGATTAGGCAGAATCCGTGAGTTTTATTTCTTCTTCTCCCAATTTGGGAAAAAAAGTTTTCAAAGATCTCGACTTTGCCTCTAAAAAACTTGTTTCGAATGGCCTAATTCATGAAAGCTTGTCAAATTAACGGAGAAAAATGAATTTATTTGTATAAAGAGCAAAATAGGGAATGACACAATTCAGGCTACTCGAAAGTTTTCATGTTCAAAGGCCAATCTTCCTGACACCACTGACAACAGTTCGGAATTTCCCAGCGCTATAGAAGATCTGAAATACAGCTCTACGTTTGTAATTAAAAATGTTCACAATATCTGCACGTCCACAGTTTTGAAATGTTATTCTGTAGGTGAAATATACCTTTTTCAACATTCCCTTCGGAAGCGCTCCACTATTCTCAATTTCCTCTTCCACATTCATTCCAGCTGCTTCTGCCATTTGCCACTAGAAGGAGCAGAGTAATGTATAAAGCCTGATAGATTATAGATGGACGAAAAAAGTCACAGCATCAGCCATTTTAGCCACGGCCACTCGCTTTGCCACCGGGAATGCACCATATGGGGCTGAGAATATCGCAATGAGATGACGGGTGCAGGCAAGAAGTGTGTCCTTGTAATCTTTTCTCTGAAAAATAAATAAAGATCAGCTTTCGTCATGGAAAGTTCATTGCCGTAATCAGCTGTACTAGAAAATCCTTATTACACATAACGAGCGCCAATAACTGCTTTAGGCATTCATTATGTGTAATTGCTTTCCCATTAGTCGTTTTTCCCCTCACTAAATCTTTTTTTGGGGAGTAATGAAGTAATATTAGCCCAATACAATTGTCTAACCATTTTACGGTCACTTTGATGAGAAAGAATGTTACCCGTTCAAATCTCACAACTATCCTGTCAGGGCGCCCCAATACATTCTCTTACCATAATTTGTTGGACGGGTGAAGTATTCCGTAGTAGGTTCCACATCTCATAATTCGCTTAGCTAAGGCAAAGCTTTGTGGTATGAAGAGATTAGTTTTTGATATTTTTTAGGGAATTTGAAATTGCTCCAATCTTATTTTACTAAAAGTATTCCACATTTCCTATAAAGGATCACTTCAAGCACTTCCTGAGCACCCAGACACATATCATTCTTTTTCTCTGCGTAGAGATTGTAGTAGCTTACAGAACAGTTAGCAGGAAAATATGTTTGGTCAAAGTTCCTGCATTATATTTGTAATTATTTTCACTCCCTAGCTGCAAAATGCCACTACAATCACTGTTGTCCCTTCTACGTAATGTTTGCCCTATATGATAAAATTAGTCTCCCATTGCAAAAGCAGTGCTGTCAAGGAGGACCTACTTACATCCAATTTCAGTATATCTCGTACGATTGCGACCTGCCAGTAATCGAAGAACTTCTCAATAATTTCCTTAGGGAAAAGCGCACAAAGTGTACGTCCAACACGAGCGAAGGTATCGAATGGAGGAAGTATGAACTGACGTAGGTAAAGATATGTCAGAATCTGAATATGAGCTTCTTCGTAAAGAATTATTGCATGACCAGAACAATGCGCTACCGCTTTCATGTCAACAGCATGGGTAGAGGTGAGAATAAATCTATCTTCATGAGATATCATTAAAAGATGCTCACTAGGAAGGGATGAATGTGTGTGAACAAGCACCTAAAATTTCTGTTTATGAACTTTAATAATGAAGCCAAAAGTTGTGCCTCCACCTGTAAAATGGGACTTGCATCTGCGAGCACTTTTTTGTGCACAAAATATTCTCGTGGTGACCCTTCAGCTACAGTAATCACCCAATCAAAAGCTGGAGGTTTTTCACCTGCCATTATTGTTGACAGGACTTTTTCAGCTGCTGGGGTTGTACTAGGCTGTTTCCTGGATTTGAATAAATTAGAACAACGACGTTTAAAAGTCCATTGGCTGGAGGCTAACTTACAGGCTCAGATCTATCATCTTATCCAGATCAAAATATGACAGAGGGATTGTTAGGGTAACCCTCAATTTAAGAGTCGACACCGTTTCCATTACTTCGGTGAGCAATTTCATTGACAAAAGTGTTTCAGCAACAAATCGATCGCCGCTTTTTACCAAAGGTACTAAAGAGATTTTAATTCCTAAGAAATGTGTTACATTTCCTTGGTCCCGCAACGACTTACTTTGTTTTTCATCTTTACCCTCTATGGTCAAAGTAATATTCCTAACTTCCGGTGGAAGCTGATTCGGGGGAGAGTTGTTTCCAATACCTTAACAGGAAATCGAGAGCATGCCATTAATTTTGCATTTTTCCATTTTGTTCTAGTCTTTAGAAAATAATCTTGTTGCGCAGACGTGGAGCACACTAGATAACTACTACCATAAGTTAGATTGCATTAGCTTCCGT